AAAACTGCCCTCAGAACTTCTGAGTTCTCTGAAAAAAATTTCGCTCAGGACTTGGCCAAATTATGCTTGCCGGATCTTTAAGGTCGAATAAGTTTTAAACGGTTCGTCGGATCGCTTCCGACCGTTATAATTTCTTTTAGAACTCTTAGAATGCTATCCAAAACTGCCCTCAGAACTCCTGAGATATCTGAAAAAATTTCCGCTCAGGACTTGGCCAAATTTCGCTTGCCGGATTTTTAAGGTGGAATAAGTTTTAAACGGTTCGTCGAATCGCCTCCGACCGTTATAATTTCTTTTAGAACTCTTAGAATGCTACCCAAAACTGCCCTCAGAACTTCTGAGTTCTCTGAAAAAAATTTCGCTCAGGACTTGGCCAAATTATGCTTGCCGGATCTTTAAGGTCGAATAAGTTTTAAACGGTTCGTCGGATCGCTTCCGACCGTTATAATTTCTTTTAGAACTCTTAGCTATGCTATCCGGCGAGATCCGGAAGATCCGGCGAGCGATATTTGGCTAAGTCCTAAGCGAAATTTTTTTCACAGTTCTCAGGAGTTCTCAGGGCAGTTTTGGATAGCAATCTAAGAGTTCTAAAAGAAATGATAACGGTCAAAAGCGATTCGATCAACCGTTTAAAACTTATTCTACCTTAATTATCCGGCGATCGAAATTGGCAAAGTCCTAAGCGAAATTTTTTTTGAAAGCTTACACGAGTCTCAGGGCAGTTTTGGATAGCACTCTAAGAGTTCTAAACGAAATTATAACGGTCGAAAGCGATCCGACAAACCGCTTAAAACTTATTCCACCTTAATTATCCGGCGATCGAAATTTGGCAGTCCTGAGCGAAATTTTTTTCAGAGTTCTCAGGAGTTCTCAGGGCAGTTTTGGATAGCATTCTAAAAGTTCTAAAAGAAATTATAACGGTCGGAAGCGAGCCGACGAATCGTTTAAAACTTATTCCACCTTAAAAATCCGGCAAGCGAAATTTGGTTGTCCTGAGCGAAATTTTTTTTTAGAGTTCTCAGGAGTTCTGAGGGCAGTTTTGGATAGCATTCTAAGAGTTCTAAAAGAAATTATAATGGTCGGAAGCGATTCGATCAACCGTTTAAAACTTATTCTACCTTAATTATCCGGCGACCGAAATTTGGCTGTCCTGAACAAAATTTTTTTCAGAGTTTTCAGGAGTTCTGAGGGCTATTTTGGATAGCGTTCTGAAAGTTCTAAAATAAATTATAACGGTCGGAAGCGATCCGACGAATCGTTTAAAACTTATTACATCTTAAAGATCCGGCAAGCGAAATTTGGTTGTCCTGAGCGAAATTTTTTTTTAGAGTTCTCAGGAGTTCTGAGGGCAGTTTTGGATAGCATTCTAAGAGTTCTAAAAGAAATTATAATGGTCGGAAGCGATTCGATCAACCGTTTAAAACTTATTCTACCTTAATTATCCGGCGACCGAAATTTGGCTGTCCTGAGCAAAATTTTTTTCAGAGTTTTCAGGAGTTCTCAGGGCTGTTTTGGATAGCGTTCTGAAAGTTCTAAAATAAATTATAACGGTCGGAAGCGATCCGACGAATCGTTTAAAACTTATTACATCTTAAAGATCCGGCAAGCGAAATTTGGTTGTCCTGAGCGAAATTTTTTTTTAGAGTTCTCAGGAGTTCTGAGGGCAGTTTTGGATAGCATTCTAAGAGTTCTAAAAGAAATTATAATGGTCGGAAGCGATTCGATCAACCGTTTAAAACTTATTTTACCTTAATTATCCGGCGATCGAAATTGGCAAAGTCTTAAGCGAAATTTTTTTTGAAAGCTTTCAGGAGTTCTGAGGGCAGTTTTGGATAGCATTCTAAGAGTTCTAAATGAAATGATAACGGTCGGAAGCCATCCGACGAATCGTTTAAAACTTATTCCACCTTAAAAATCCGGCAAGCGAAATTTTTCCAAGTCCTGAGCGGAAATTTTTTCAGATATCTCAGGAGTTCTGAGGGCAGTTTTGGATAGCATTCTAAGAGTTCTAAATGAAATGATAACGGTCGGGAGCCATCCGACGAACTGTTTAAAACTTATTCTACCTTAATTATCCGGCGATCGAAATTTGACAAAGTCCTGAGCGAAATTTTTTTCAGAGTTCTCAGGAGTTCTCAGGGCAGTTTTGGATAGCATTCTAAAAGTTCTAAAAGAAATTATAACGGTCGGAAGCGATCCGACGAATCGTTTAAAACTTATTCCACCTTAAAGATCCGGCAAGCGAAATTTGGTCAAGTCCTGAGCGAAATTTTTTTTGAAAGCTTTCAGGAGTTCTGAGGGCAGTTTTGGATAGCATTCTAAGAGTTCTAAATGAAATGATAACGGTCGAAAGCGATTCGATCAACCGTTTAAAACTTAGTGTATCTTAAATACACTGCAAGCGGTAAGTATCAGAATTAAAGATATATTTTTGTAATTTTATATACTGCACTAATGCTTGCATACATTTTATTAATGTAGGGTCAATTAGTAAAGAAATTTGAAGGAGTATTAGAATGCAAGCCGACAGACACATATTCCAATAAATTTAAAAGAAGAAACTTGGAAGCAAATTTCAAAGGAATTTTGTTCCAGTACAGAGGTTTATAGAGATGCTATAATTTTATGTTATAAACATGAAAATATAAAGAAAAAGGCAAAAAGAATGTTTGTTGATTTCAAATGCTACACAAAAGGCACTGGTAATGGAGGACCTGCAAACATTGTATTTGATAACATTATATATATATATATATATATATATAAGTTATTGTTTTCCATATTCGTGAATACCGGGACACTTTTTTATTTTATAACTCAACACTATTTCATAAATCGACGCATAAATACATTAATTTTATTTTACTTTAATTTTAAGGTTGATTAGAGTCAGCTGTCCAAAAGTGACCCATACAGAGTTGACTTTTCGTTGACAACTTAAAAATAATAAAGGTTTATCTAAAATGTCTTCAACATATACTTGAAAAACACACAAAATGTAAAACTAGGTTTATGGATTAAGGAAGGATCAGATAATCTTTAATTTAAACCACGATTGAAAAACCGGCCCTAGTCAATGAAAAAATAATGCAGAAAATGTCAGTGAAATTGGCACGATATTCTTTAAATTTAAGAAAAAACAATAGTTCTGGTAGCACTTTTCATAATTCTAGAGCTCCTGATAGAAAATGAAAAGAGTTCCGCATTTTTAATACTAAAAAATAGCAAATGAAAAATTGTGCTAACTTCGCGAATCTAGCACAACATTTTCTCCTCTAATCTATAAGAAATCAATAAATATCACTGCTTTTAGCGAGTTCCCGTTAATTCTAATCGAGTTTCATCTCTGTATGTAATACAAATAAACAAAATTTCAATAATTACGTTATTTACATAAACAACATATATTGTACCTAGCATGACGCTCGAAGAAAAAGTGTCGTGCTGATCATTCCTAGCGCATTTTCAATATATATTGACAGTTTTAGATGAGTTCTAATAAGTACGATCATTTCTAGGTAGAGTTCCAGTGGCTCACTATTTTTAAATAATTTTTTAATTTTCGAACATAGCACGACACTCAGAGAAAAAGTCTCGTGCTGATCATTTCCAGCGCATTTTTCGATATATATCGACAGTTGTACATGACAACTACGATCATTTTTATGTCAAATTCTTTCGAGACTGATTTAATAGTCATTTTTTCTCGTCTCAACGGAGTAAGAAGATATATTGTAAGAAATCATCAATCTTGATGGCGAAAGTTTTGAAAATTGTATATTTGTAAAAATGAAAAAATTATTTAAAAATAATGAAAATTAAAAAATTATTTAAAAATAGGTAGCCATTGGAACTCTGCCTAAAAATGATCGTAGTTGTTAGAACTCATGTAGAACTGTCGATATGTATCGAAAAATGCGCCAGAAATGATTAGCACGACATTTTTCCTCCGAGTGACGTGTTAGGTCTGAAAATTAAAAAATTATTTAAAAATAGTGAGCGACTGGAACTATGCCAAAAAACAATCGTAGTTGTTAAAACTCATCTAGAATTGTCGACATATATCGAAAAATGCGCTGGAAATGATCAGCACGATACTTTTTTCCGAGAATCGTGCTAGGTCCGAAAATTAAAAAATTATTTAAAAATAGGTACTAACTAGAACTCTGCTTAAAAACAATCCTAGTTGTTAGAACTCATGTAAAACTGTCGATATATATCAAAAAATGCGCTGGGAATGATCAGTACGGCACTTTTCCTCCGAGTGTCATGCTAAGCCCGAAAATTAAAAAATTATTTAAAAATAGGTAGCTACTGGAACTCTGCCTAAAAATAATCGTAGTTGTTAAAACTCATCTAGAATTGTCGACATATATCGAAAAATGCGCTGGAAATGATCAGCACGACACTTTTTTCCGAGAATCGTGCTAGGTCCGAAAATTAAAAAATTATTTAAAAATAGGTACTAACTAGAACTCTGCTTAAAAACAATCCTAGTTGTTAGAACTCATGTAAAACTGTCGATATATATCAAAAAATGCGCTGGGAATGATCAGTACGGCACTTTTCCTCCGAGTGTCGTGCTAAGCCCGAAAATTAAAAAATTATTTAAAAATAGGTAGCCACTGGAACTCTGCCTAAAAATAATCGTAGTTGTTAGAACTGATCTAGAACTGTCGATATATATCGAAAAATGCGCTAGGAATGATCAGCACGACATTATGTGATTACAAAAACGCACAGAGTTTTTGTAATCACATAATCATCATTATGAATACGATGAGTTAGTATTATCTACGTATTATCTACAATTGATATCAAGCAATTAAATGTCGATTGCTGTTGTCCATTGCGTGCATTCGAGTGGCAAAGCTGTATGTACAATGGCAGTGCCCCGGTTAGTTCGTGTTAAGTCATACAGGAAGATCAAGTTAAGCGGGATTAAACACAGGAACATACTCGTTCTTGACTTGCCTAGTCTAAGGAAAAAAGCTACATACTTGTTTTCGAGAGATTGTCTTTGCTACGTCGAGCCTCTTTCCCTCGGCGACTGAGAGTCTCGCGACTCCGTTGTCTGCGTCTCATAGTGGCGATCGGCTTCGCATGTTGTTGCTGCTGATCATAGTTGATCTCGAACGGTTCTCTATAATGTCGTGGTTTCCACGGTGCAAGGACGCTCACGCTCCTCGACACCGTTCTCGTGTGCGATTGCAACGGTCGATTTAACTCCTCGCGGCTCGCGGCCCTGCGTCGTTCGTTCGGTCCTGGTATTTCTCCGACTGGAATGCAGATATCGCAATTAGAGTTCGGTTACGCTTGACGATATGTTCCGTACTTTCACCAGTCGTCGGATGTTATTCGGCTCGTTAGTTAAATAACTTTAAACAACTGACTAGTAAGGAACGGATTTCTTTTTCTTTCGCTCTTTACATTGCAAATGCGACGGTTGTTACGTAAATTCAAATATTCGACGTATAACGGCCGCGGGGAGAAATTTTAATCATATCAACGCGACAGTGAACGAACCAAACGTGTTTTGCTTGAAAAAAAGTGTATTTCTGGGGGAAGGGAGGAGGGTTTGTATAGAAATTTTTATCTTCAGTTGATATAAAAACACATTTGCAACGATATTTTAATTTTTGACCAAAAGAAGATAGATTATTATTGGCGCTCCACATGAAGCTATTGCGCTTTTTAAGCCGGGTAAACTATAAATTGTAATTAGTCGGACTGTTTCGGCTGGATATAAATGAAGTAAAAGATGTCATTAGATTCAATCATAAATGTATGTGTATAACATTAAAATGAATATTCTTACATGGTGACATCGCGACCACAACACCGGCGGACTGCAATGCTAAAATTTACGCGGTAAAGAAGAAACAAGAAAGAAATCAATTGTAAATATTAATCAAATAATAAAGATGTTATACCTGTAGCAGCGTGGAGATACACAACAGATCTTTGTGACCTCTGTGAATTTTGGCTTTGCTGACTGCTGTCGCCGGTCGTACTCTCACCTGAGGACAACGCACTTTCGGCGAGTCTTGGCGGTTTTCTCGGAGCTGACATGATACCCAGGTTGTGGCGATTTGGATTTGTGACATCACGCCTCGCGCATGCATGACTGTCAACAGTTTTACTTCTGAAAAATAAGCAATTATTTTAGCGGCGTTGAAGTTACATTTAGTTTGACATGTATGCGTGTCCCCTTTATTGGACACAATTATACTGCTAGCAACATCATTTTTATCAAAATTGTCCGTTATATGATTTAAAGATTAGAGGAGATGAAAGATATAAAGAAAAGAAGTGAGTTATCAAAGTTCTTCTCAGATTGTCACATTCAAATATATAGAATCAGGTATGTAGACAGAAAATACTAATAAGAGCTCACACGGGATATCGATTGTGAATCTGCAAAGCATATACAGATTGCGTGAAAAGTTCGTGGAACTAAACTGAAATAAAGAATACCAAATTCTAAAAATGATTTTATTCTTCAATATAGTCTCCATTAACTTCAATACACTTGGCCCAATAGCTCTCCAATAATTTTATTCCATCGCGGAAGTGTGTTTCTGGAAGGTCTGCGAAATATGCCTCTACGGCTACTATAGCTTCTTTATTCGACAAAAAATGCTTTTCACGGAGGAATTGTTTTAGGTTTCGGAACAGATAGAAGCCGCTGGGTGCCAAATCTGGCGAATACAGTGGATGATCAAGCAATTGGTACTTCAATTTATTGAATTTAGACATTGACAAAATACTTGTGTGAGCAGGTGCGTTGTCTTGGTGAAAAATGATTTGTTTGTGCTGGAAACCAGGTCTTTTCTCATGAATTTTTGCATCCAATTGATCCAAAAGGTTACAATAATATTCAAAGTTAATTGTTTTACCTTTTTCCAGATAGTCAATTAACAAAATCCCTTTACATCCCAAAAGACTGATGCCAAAACCTTTTTTGCTGATCTTTCATGCTTTGTTTGCTTTGGAGCTGAACATCCAGCTTCAGTCCACTGTAAACATTCCTGTTTCAATTTAGGATCATGGTGATAGATCCAAGTCGCACCCATAGTTATAAAACGACGTACAAAATCGGTTTTATTCTTCTTAAAATGACCCAAATGACACTGAGAAATTTGCTTTCGAGCAAGTTTTTGTTGAATTGTTAACGTATGCAGCACCACTTTTTCAAACACCTTTTTCATTTGTAATTCTTTATGCAAAATATGCCGTACCCGTTCATCTGAAATACCTATGGTATGAGCAATTTCACGCATAGTCACACTTGGATCTTCAGAAACAATAACATGTATTTGCTCAATGATTCCTGGTGTTGATGCGCTTTTTGGACGTCCACTGCGTGAATCATCTTCAATGCTTGTACGACCACGTTGAAACTCAAGTGCCCATTTACAAACCATTGTTTTTGAAGAAGCAGATTCCCCTAACACATTTACCATTTCGGAATGAATTTCCATTGCCTTTAAACCTTTTTTAACAAAGAACTCAATCACTGCACGCTGTTTCAAATTTTCCATTGCAAACAAATATACTGACATGTCAACTTCAATTGGCTTGTAAACACAGAAAGAATTGACAGATGGAAATGAAACCTAACCTAGGTTCATGTGAAGAGTGATTCTATATAACCGACTACAATTTATAATTCTACTGTTTACTTAAAAATGCCGCTCCGCAAACTTTTCAAGCAACCTGTATATGGAACAAGAAATATGGAACACTGAACAAGAATGTTGCAAAAGTGGCAAAGCTCCGGCTTGGCAACAGATAACTCTCATCAGTGGTCGCATGTTAATTGCTCAATGAGGATGCAGCTGTCAGCTCTGTAGCATTTACCTGCGGTCTCTGTTGGATGAGACGGACTCCTGATCCGTATCGCCGAAGAAGCGGAGATTCTTTTGCACGGAAACTCGTTCGGGCGCGGAGAAAGCTTCCTCATCCTCAGTGCCGGTCGTCAGGATCTCGCTCTCGAGTATTCTCGGCTTTTTATCCACCGGCTGCAAAGTTATCGACGCTTCATTATTCATGATCTCGGCGCACCGAATATAGCAACCGACGCAGATTATTTCTCCGTATAACAATTACGTCCGCTTATTCCAAATATCGATCTCATCGTACATTATAATTTCGCGGACGGAACAGAAGAAGAACGGTTTCGCAAGTGCGAGATAGATTGAAACGTATCGCCGTAACCGGCATGTTATTCCGCGGTACTATGTAATTTTCATGGTTAAGCGGGTGATCCCCGGCTTGAGTTTCCCAACTTTTAAGGGCGGCCTCTCGGCCGTTTACGATTAACTTGAACTACTCGCGATTAACTGATTCTTTTTAATCCGCTAGTTATACGGCCCTTTAGTCTTTATGGTTATGCGAATAGTGAGTATCTACAGTCTTTATTGAACATACAAAACGAGAATCATGCGCCTTGCAGAGAAACGCGAATAAAAACTAAAAAAGGAAAAAAGGGGCAAGCAACCTATTATGGCAGTCCCGAGATAATCCTGTTATCTGCCAGGCGATAAAATGATTAAGGATGCAATATAAGTTTTCGGAAATATCTGGGAGGAAACGTGAATCCAACATGGTGTCAAATAGGTTTCCGCATAAAATTGACTTTGTCTATTGCATATATGTAATAAGACTATATTGTCAGTCCTCGTAAGTAGAAGGATTGCCGATAAAGTGAGAAAAAGTGATTTTGGCCGTTGTGCTCAAGGTGCGCAGATGTGAAATATGAAACAGAATTATACAACTGTTGTGGACATGAGAGTAGAATATAACATATAAATATAACATATAAACAAAGTAATAAACTGCACTCATTTACAAATGTTTTTTTTATAATATCTACAAATATATTGAAAAAGAAAGCAGTTAAGCTTGGAAATAATTTATAAATAATGATAATAAAAATGGATAAAAAATAATGAAATCATTAAATATTATTAACATTTTATTAATTAAATTCATAATAGTTAATAATAGTTAATAAGTAATTAATTAAATTCAAAATAGAATATAGAAATATAATAAAATAGAATATATGACAACACAGAATATTAAGGTAAATATGCAGTATAACGCATATTTACCTTAGAACTTTTTGAAATTTTGAAAATTTATGTATTTTAATGCGTAGAATTGATTTCTAAAAACGGAAATTGTCGCTCATGTACCGTTTTCTATTTTTTTAATCCAAAATTTTATGATGTCGGTAAGTAAGAAAGTGATAAGCTTTCATCAATATGAAATTAACTTGAATACGTCTAACTTCAATTATATTCCTAAAGAAATTTACTCTCATCTGTATATCGTAACCTTAAAAGTTAAAAATGGGATATTCAGTGGAACAAATTAATAACAATCCTTGGCTTGGAGTTCAGGATGTAGTCGGTGATGCTAAATTATGACCTAAGTTTCTTAGAAAAATATTTTGGAATCGAAATTTGAATGATTACAATCGGATGATTTTAGTGAACTTCGCATATATAAATGTTATCTCCGAAGAATTTTCGTTTTTAGAAATCAATTCTATGCATTAAAATACATAAATTTTCAAAATTTCAAAAAGTTCTAAGGTGAGGGCATTATACTGCATATTTACCTTACTCATTTTTATAAAAAAAAAACAACTCTTTGGATATATTAATAACAGATTATAATCTCCAAATAACGTGTCTTTAACGCGTAAGTAACATCCCCACTATACACAATTGTCTCGCATGCGAGCAAAGTTCTCAACCAGACAGAGGCTGCGTTCCGAAATTCACTGCCAGTACTGAAAATATATAGTATGCGTGACACAAACTATGTATTTTCAGTACTCGCAGTAAATATCGGAACGCAGCCAGAAAGAATGCATACGTTCAGCAGAAAGAGCTGCTTTACAACTGTTGTAAAACTCGTGAATCTAATTAGCGTGTGTTCTTAAATTTGTTTGAATCCAAGAGCATGCACCAATCAGATTCATGAGTTTCACAATGGGTGCATTCGGTATTACAACCGCTTACTGAGCGCTCAATGAGCTCTTACATTTGATTGGTATATTCCTTTAGATTTGGAAATATATACCAATCAGATGCAAGAGCTCACTTAGCGCTCAGTGAGCAGTTGTACTGTAGTACTGAATGTACCCAATAGTTGCAAAGCAGCTTTCTCTGCTGAATGTAGCCAATTACTACGTTTATACGGCTTTTAACTTCGACTTAGTAACTACCGTAGTTAGTGCAGTCTCGAATCTGATTAGAGTATATTTTTAGATTTAAAAGAATATACCAATCGAATAAAAAAATTCACTAACTACGGTTGTTACTCCGGATTAACTTTGCCGTGTAAACGTAGTTATTGATATCGTCTACACCGTGATGTTTTCTCCCTTCTATCGACCAAACTGGCAATAGTCTTATTACATATATGGTCTATTGATCGAAATAAGCAAGGGAATAGGGAAAGGATAAGGGAGAAATAAGGCAAAAAAATAGGGGGAGGGAGAGGTAGCACGTATATTTAAACCAAGTTTTGGGGCGTGCTGAAAACATCATTATACACCTTCCATCAGCAAATAATAAGCGCTAAAGATAGAACGTTTCGAGCACGAAAGCATATAATGCCCAATTTCTTCACCTCTAGATAAGTTGTCGATAACTTTATCCACGAGATATCTGCCAGAATCGGTTTTCTTCACCTTTGTAAAGTTTGTATCCGGCAGATAAACTTATCCGATACCTGAAGTAGCGGATATTGATGTCAGTGCCCTGACATAACCTAAAAATTACAATAATACGTAATCTGCTGTTGCTGTTGCTATTTTTATGAAAATACAACATGGATTTGTTATTCATGAATATTAATATTTTTGAATCTGATGATGATGATGATGATGATGAGGAATTTGTAGAAAGGAGATCCTATATAACAAGAAATAAACCGAACAATTTTTAAGTGTGAGATGACAAAGATTTTTTCGAACGATTCTGTTTGAAAAAAAATACAGTGCTCGAATTATTATATGCAATTGCAGACCGATTGTTAATACTGTGGAATTTACTTTAATTAGTTAATATTAGCCCGGAAAAGAATATGTCGCTGGCAAAATATGGTGATTTATAGTAAATTTCTAATATATTTTGTGTCAAAAACTAGTAGTATGAAGAATAGCTATCTGTTAAATATAATAACCAGAGATTTTAGTGAAGAAAACGAATTTTTAGTTATCTGACGGATATCTTTATCTAGAAGATAGCTATTGAGAGGTGTTGAGAAGAAACCAGGAATTAGACGAACTTAGTCTAACTGTTCTCTATCGATGACCGCTGGACTTTTCGGAGTCAAACCAACTAAACTGCGTCGCTGTTATCGTCCTCGTTCTCGTCCTCGTCCTCATCATCGTCGTCATCGTCGTCCCTCGGTCGGGAGAAAATCGCGCGCGTATACAAAGCCGTATTCTTCCCGCGGCCTAGAAAAATCGCGGCCTCCCTTCGTGGTTGCATCCACGGCGCCTTCATGAGTCATGATTCTCCCCGGGCCGACTCATCCGATAGATCATCGTCCACGGCGAGATTCATGTGCACGCAATCATCTCGAACGAGCACGCGAGAGAGTGCGAGCGGCTTTTACGGACGTGAGCGTATACGCTCGCTCATCCAGGCCGAGAGCATCGTCTTACCTCGCTCCGCGACTAAGCAGAGGAGAGATCAGTGGAATCGGGGCCTGACAAAGATTATTCCCGCACGCCAGACGATACTCGGATTAGAGCTAGGCAACCTCCCTGATCGGCACTTAATCTCGCGATTAAATTAAACCACAGAGCGCGGAGTTAGTTAAGCATTTAATCAAACTGGTAATTGGAGGTTGCGCTGCCCTAATGGCTCTGCGCAGCGACCCGCGCGCTCGGCCTGATGAATGTACCAATGAGAGTTGGGGTTTACGGTGGTGAACGCATGATAATTACGGCATAATCTAAAAAAAAGAAAGGGAGGAAAAGAAAGAATACGCTTGTTATTGGATAGTACTCACAAAGGGGATTTCTTTCCCGTGTCGTACCGCGCTTTCCAACCGATGACGTTCTTTTCCCAAGCGATGGCGTACGGATCTCCAGCCCTGCGACCATATCCATACGCTTTACGCATTTTGAGCACTGTTTGCTCAGGCAGAGACACGAGTCCGACGGCTTTACTCATCGTACTTAGGATATCGCGCGACTACTTATCCCGTGTGAATAATCGAAATTACTGTAATCGACACGAGTACTTTTGGAGCCGATATCAAGATGATATAATACCCGCAATATATTCTGATAAACGAATTATTTCAAAAAATTCCGTCGGTCGCCCGTTGCTTGTGCCTGGTTATACTAAGTTTCCTGTTATTACGCATACGACATATCCAGCGATCAATAATGACGTTCCGTTATATATGCATGTGACCCGCCCGAATAATCAATAACGGAGCTTCGCCAGGTCGCGCAAATGCGCACGCACAGTGACTAATCGATAACAACGTTTTGCTACGTGCGCATGCGACACGTCGAGTAATCAATAACGCTGCTCTGCTAGGTGGCGTATGTGACGCATGGGGTAACTAATAATGGCGTCTTGCTACACTGCGCATGCGACACGTCGAGTAATCAATAATGGTGCTCTGCTAGGTGGTTTATATGACGGATGAAGCAAACAATAATGGCGCCTTGCTACATCGTGTCGAGTAATCAATAATGGTGCTCTGCTAGGTGGCTTATGTGACGCACGGCGTAACCAGGACGACGCGAGGACGTCGTCTCGATGCTTAAATCTGGGACGAAGATGCTAAATGTGACGCGGATTGAAAAATGAGCGGATATGGAACGATATTTGAGTCACGAATCGAGTGCGGGAATTCACTTTGTACGAACGAGTAATTATTTGAATCCGAGTGACCCAGTTGTTACTCTATCTTATTTTCGAGAGCGGAAATCCACAATGTGAGAAATGTAAAGAACGCTACTCGCTCCACGGCCGCTACGCGCGCAGCACACAGACGAATGATGAGAAAACGATACTCACTGCAGCATTGGATTTGTTCTTCCTTGAGAGAGACTTGAACCAGCCTTTCCTTTCCGCCTCTTGTCCCTGGTTGTCTCTGGTCAGGGTGTTGCTGGACTCACAGAAGGACTCCTCCTCTCTAGTAAGAGTGCCGGTGGATCTTGAGAGTCTAGTCGGCCTAGGAGGGCTTGGACTGCCGCTTGGTGTCGATAAGCGCCGACGTTGGCTGTAATCCTCCTGCGAAAAGGGAAAAAATCGATAATTACATTCAACGAACCGCGCGTCTCTTTCTACATGTATTCTACTTCTACAACACACATTAAATCCATTACAACATCTAATTCGTCATACTCTGTGTCTTCTGCTCTCACCTCTTCCTTCTCCGGACATGATTTACTCCGACAATCTCGATAACTTACTTCCAAGCATTATCCTCGGTGGGAATACGGGTGAGAGAACAGAGCGGGAAACGTATTAAGTTTTAATTAGCGTCATCTTAAATAGTCGTGACACGACATCACGATAACTTAGTTTCGGAGCGGCAAGTATGTGACTTGTTGCAAGTATGACCTGTTGCGTTCTCGATCTTTCCACGGAAGTGAGTTACGTGCACTCAGATGATCAAACGCCATGAGTTTCGCAAAACATCTCGTGATGTAATATATTCAACATGTGTATCCTGATCGTTACACATGATGCTGATAACAAAATACTTTCTCTATGTCTAAGTTATATCAAACTGAAGTTTTCGTATTACATAAAATCCCCGTAAGGAACGAAAACTACGAGGTAGTCTAAGGCAGAGCTCGGCAAACTTTACAACTTTCGGCCGATTTCGCGACCTCAGGACCGTTGAGATCATAAGGCGCATCTATGTGATTTAAAAAAAAAAAACGCGTCGGCAATAGTACCTCATGGGTGACGAGGAAACCTATTATGTTACTTTCTAATTATAAAAATATAAGAAAAAAAATATATATATTTATACAAGTATATATTTGTACATGTTTGTATGAAATATTATACATATAGTTGTATCGATACATTTATTTTTCAGTCTTTGAGGTGCATTAAAGGAGCGCGTTGTCAACGTTAACACGTTATTTTGTCTTTATCGCTCATTATATGTACAAGGATTGAATGACGCGTCAGCGCTGATCGACGTGCTCCCCGAACGTATCTTTAGTAAGCACCACATAGATGCGCCTTATGATCTCAACGGTCCTGAGATCGCGAGCCGCGACCGTCAGTTGCTGGATCCGCCGCGCGGTAAGGGGAGATAGAAGGCGTTAGCTTCCGAAAATCGGCCGAAAGTTGTAAATTTTGCCGAGCTCTGGTTTAAAGGATGCGGGAGTATCTTCGCAGTATTTTGATAACTAACATGTTAAAACAAATAAGCGCATGTGATGAAAGAAGGCGATAGGTCATACTATAGGTAGGATATATTGCGTGAATACCTTCCGAGGTCAACGGATAGTGGATGGCTCTTAGATGCGTGCAAGATAAACGAGCGATATAACGAGATATAAAAAGTGAGAACATTAGGTTCTTACCGTGCCCAGTATGCATTTGTTTTCAACGTTTCGGGAATATTCCCCCCTTTCCCCCACTCATGAATAAGCCTGTTACGTGCGCTAATTATGCTGACTATATTCCATCTACTGCTAAGTGTTATTTCTTTTGCCTATTCAAAAGTTTTGATAGCAACAGCAAAGTTTCGACAACCCTCGGTTACCGATTAACCTCTTGATACATCATGAAAGTCTGATATCGCGCACGTGACACCCTTACGTAGAGTTGGCCGCGATTTAAAAAATTGAAAGAAAATAATTAGAGTTCTGGTTGCCTCCATCCTGCCTCTTCCTTCCGCTTCACCGGAGGCCAAGGATTCTCGGTCATTTCTGGAAATAAATCTGACAAATGAAGTCTCTTTATTAGAAACATGGCTTTCATAAATTTAGCAGCACTTCCTTAGCGCTTTTCTAATAGCTGCCTGACAGATTCCTATCGATGATCCTCGAGACGACCTAAACAGAAGCAAAGAATATTCTAGCCGAGCGGAGCGAGGTAGTAGCCAAAGGAAAAGCTTTGAGCTTTAGCCGCGCGCGATTTACCGGGCAGGGAGACCTCATATCCGAGTCACGGGTCTATTCGACGCGAGGAATAACGAAGGTGCGTGTCACTCGCTAAACGCCCTTCGTTGTTTATGTTAACCGCCGTTCCGCCAATCACGCCGGACCGCCGCGGCCTTCCATTCCGCTACTCTCAGGATATATAGGCGCGGTGCAGGCCTCGCGGGGCCCTAGACCGATGGTCGGGACCCGATGGGCCCCGCCGGTCGGAAAAACTCGCTCCGTGGAAGTGGAGGACGCGCGATGTGCGCTCGGCCGCTCGCGAGCGCGAGCAGGCAGGCAGGCAGGCAGGCAGGCAGGCAGGCAGGCAGGCAGGCAGGCAGGCAGACGCGTGTCCGTTTCATTCCCGACGACGCGTCCACGTCGTCGTTATTATTATCATCGCGTTTTGCATCATCACCATCATCAGCGCTGCCACCTCCGTCATTTACTCTCGCTCTCGCGCATGCATAATGCGCCGAGCGCACGGCTCCAGGCGCTTATCACGACTCTCCGCTGTTTATTCATCGGTGTATATTCCGGCGAAAGACCGCCGACGATCGTAATCGCCGTTACCGAGGCCGCACGGTGCCGCGCGTGTATCCGCGGTAACGCGCCGCACGGAAACTGTGCAGGAAGTGAATCCCTTGTTCACGTCACGATGTCAATTGGAATATTAATCCCCTTGCTGGGCGCGACCGACGATCGCGTTATTATTATTAACTTTTCGATGGTGCGTGACGTATAACACGGAAAAATATAATGCACACTGCTCGAACGTATTTAAACAGTCGAGCGCTCGCAATTTTCGAGACAATGTTTTGCGGTTGTCGCCTACCCTCGCGATCTAGCTTCGCTTGTCGCTTCAACGGCATTGTGCAAATACAGCAGCACAACACGCTGCTGTATTTTCTCACGATATTGCGCTCTAACATTGTAACAATAGTACATGACAAAAAAAAAACGAGAATGCGACGTTTTCGGTAAACATTAATATCCAGGCAAACGGAGCAAATAAAGAGTAATATTCGTAAATCAATAGTATCTACCCAGTTTCCCTCTTCCTCTCTATTTCCCTCCTTCTCCCTTTTTTCCGCTCTTTCTCTCACTCCCTTTTTCATTTTCTCTTTATTCCTCTACCCCCCATCCTTTGCCTTCTCTTTCGGGGCACAAGCTGTCGCGCGGAGAGATTTCAATATGCTATATAATACCATATCACGCGCGCGCGCGGCCTCACATGCTCGCCGCGTATAAATTTTTAAATGACTCACAATGAATAGCCCATATCGCGGAATCATCTGCATAGTACAAGCACGACGCGCTTCCATGGTACTCTCCATATATACGAGCAACAATATCTCGTATGCTTTCCATAACGAGTCGCGCGTACCGACGACGACGACGACGACGACGATGACGACGACGACGAGGAGAAGAAGGAAGAGGGCGACCATGACGACGAGGACGAAGACGAAGAAGAGGTCGAGTGATGCTGAGAAGAAAAACCAAGGGGCCCCCGTACCCGGGCCCGGTACCGAGGAGGGAGGCCCTAAGGGCATTGTGACCCACGCACCGCCCTGCCAATTTTTATACCACCGCGCACTCGTCCGTAGCCTTCCTCCTCGCTGCGTTGTCTTCCTTACTCCTCGCCTTCTTCTTCTTCTTCTTCTTCTTCTTCTTCTTCTTCTCCTCCTCCTTCTTCGTCCGTTTCTCTTTTATTCTTTGCCTACTCTGTCCGGGGAATGCGTTATGCGCGGCTACTCCCTTGCTCTCTGTGACTCGGCGTGGGCCGTCGAGATTGGGCTAGGTCTCTTACGTTCCTTAAGTGCACGCCACGCAGCTTATGCACGCGTGCACGCATATACGAATGGTACCTGTGTTGTTACACACATGTTTATGTGTGTGTGTGTATGTGTGTGTGTGTGTGTGTGTGTGCTATGTACGCACATCTATGTGGCACAACGTGTATCCCCGGCGCATAACTCTGCAACATTAAACCGCCCGCCGTAGGTCACCGTAGATTACGCATAAATTCCGAAGGATGCGATTTACAACGTTATCTGACGTCCCCCTCTCGCCACCCGACCTCTTGACAGATTTTCTCCCGCCGTTCGTGCGAGCGACCGCCGCCATCGGCGCGCGAAGAAATTCGGTCACGTGTGCGAGCCTCTTCCTTGTCTTTCACCCCGGCGAACACTTTTCCGCTCACGGTTAAGCTTTTAATTAAATGCGATAATGAATGTGTAGAAAGGTAGCGTCTTGTAACATGCGTCGGGTTCATCATACTCGTTAAGTTAGCGCGCGGTAGGCCGAATTTCCCGATGCGATGCACACATGCGCGCTCCATCGACGAGAAATAATGCAACCGGAACGGAGAACCGCGGAATGAACGCTTCAGTTAACGAAGCTCACAGAGGAGTAATTTGCGTAATTTCTGGATCATGTCTCATCGTATATGTACATACACGCTACGTATACCGGCTTCGTTAATAGTAATTACGATTAGGAAGGCAGTGATTTCCCCCATGTATTCAAGCATTCATTAGATTGACCGTACACACCAAAATATTATACATCCGCTCTTCCTCGCCGCCGCGCTCCATCGAAGGAGAATAACGTGATCGAAGCGCGAGGGTCTGTGAAGGAACGCGTGGTCTAATCAACGACGAGGTGGAAAAGCCATTTACGTTCTGAATGGTTTGCGGGTCGCGAGTAATCACATGGAATAATGATCGCGATAACATATAACGTGATAACGTAAAGGCGATAACGTAACATGCCGCGACCTACACGGCCGGCCGGTACGATACATATTGACCAGCCGTACGGCTGGTCGACCGATGTTGTACCTGAGCGGAACCTCGCCGTTTAGAGGATGCTCTATGAATAGTTACCGAGGGAAAGATGTATCTCCTCGTATCACCTGGTGCAAACCGAACGACCGACCGGGCGACCACAAACGAGGATTTTAACCCGGCTTAGAACAGAGCTTAAAGACGAGCACGGACAGCGCAAGAGGCAGGGAGAAAGGGGGTAAGAGAGCAGCAGAGGAAACCAGCGCGCAATGCGGCAGGTAGAATCGTATCGGCAAATTGCGATCGGCGACCGCCTTGTCGGCAACTCCCT